TAGCAGAGACAGGGTTTCACCATGTTGGCCAGGCTGGTCTCGAACTCCTGAGCTCAAGCGATCCGCCTGCCTCGGCCTCCCAAAGTGCTGGGATTACAGGCATGAGCCACCGTGCCCGGCCAGGACTCTGTCTTATTCATCTTTGTAGTCTTGGCACTAGCTCAGGCCTGGCACATACTATGTGCTTGTCAAATGAAGCTGCTCCTAGTTTTCCGCAACTGAAAGCAACCTTGCTCCTGCAACCTCTGTGGCACCCTCTCTGTGACTATTCTACTGTCTTTTCTAGTTTATATCATAGCTTTCTCTCTCTAGGTCTTTTTTTAAAAAACAGGGTCTTGCTCCGTTGCCCAGGCTGGAGTGCAGTGGCACAATCATAGCTCACTGCAACCTTGAACTCCTGGGCTCAAGGGATCCTCCTGCCTAAGCCTCCAAATAGCTAAGACTACAAGTGCACGCCACTATGCTCAGCTATTTTTTATTTTTTAGTAAAGATAGGGTCTCGCTTTGTTGCCCAGGCTGGTCTTGAGCTTCTGGCCTCAAGTGATCCTTTCACCTCAGCCTCCCAGTGTTGAGATTACAGGCACGAGCCACTGCACCCAGCCTCTCTTTCTAAGGTCTTCTGTCTCCTGTTATACTGTAAGTTCCTTGAGGGCAAGAACTGGAGTTTCATTCATCTTTGAATGTACAATAATGGGCCCAATGCTTGCTTCTAGAGTGTCTGAGAGAAAGAGTTCTTAGGAAAACAGACGAACGCACTAGCTCTGCCCCAGCTTGCTCCTGGGTCCCACTGCTCCCAAACTAGCAGGGGGAGCTTTCACCATGGTGGCTACGGCCACACCCCTAAAGCTGGACCCGATTTAGGCTACAGCCCATCCTTTGGAGTTGAGAACAGTCTGGACCACTTACCTCCCAGGACCATGATCTTCTTACGAGTGTCCTCACTCAGGAAGGGTTTGATGAGGTTGTAGGCCACAGGAAACAGTTTGGGGGCTGGAACAGAGACCAGATAATGTGAGGCCGGGAGCAGTGCCCAGTCTGTCCCTGGCAGCATCCTCTGCAGCACCTTTTACCCTCCCAGCAGCCCATGCTGGGCCACATGTTCACTAGGGCTGTGGAGCCCACGTAGGCAGCCCAGGGTGTGCAGCTCAGCATGGGCATCTTTGAGGTCCAGCCTTCCCATCTGTAGAGTGGGTATAATCAAATGGTTTCTTCCTATCTCATCAGGCTGGGTGGCTCAAAGGAGGTCATAAATACTGAAAGCTCTGTGAGCTGTAAAGTAGTCTGCATATGTGAAAGGCAGTCTTCTTTTTATTTTATTTTTTTGAGACTGTCTTGCTCTGTCACCCAGGCTGGAGTGCAGTGGCACAATCTTAGCTCACTGCAGTCTTCAACTCCTGGGCTCAAGCAATGCCCTTGCCTCAGCCTCAGTGAGCTCTTGGCTCACTGCATCCTCCAGCTCCTGGGTTCAAGTGATTTTTGTGCTTCAGCCACCTGAGCAGCTGGGATTACAGGTGTGGGCCACCACACCTAGGTAATTTTCATATTTTTAGTAGAGATGGGGTTTTGCTATGTTGGCCAGGCTGGTCTTGAACTCCTGACCTCAAGTGATCTGCCCACCTCAGACTCCCAAAGTGCTGGGATTACAGGAGTGAGCCACTGTGCCTAGCCCTATTTTTATTTTTCTGAGATGGAGACTTGCTCTGTCACCCAGGCTGGAGTGCAGTGGCACAATCATAGCTCACTGCAGGCTTAAACTCCTGGGCTCAAGCAATGCTCTTGCCTCAGCTTTGAGAAACTGGAACTACAGGCATGCACCACCATACCCAGCTCATTTCCTTAACTGTTTTATAGAAATGAGGTCTTGCTATGTTACCCAGGCTGGCCTCAAACTCCTGGGCTCAAGAGAGCCTCCCGCCCCGGCCTCCCAAAGTGCTAGGGTTACAGGCATGAGCCAGCACACTAGCAGGGGCAGCAGTCTTCTGAACATGTCCTTAGACCCCTCTTTTGGCTCACTGTTTGGCCCTCCATCTGCCCCAGTCATATTTTTGACCCCTCTTTTCCATCTGGCTTTATCACAAGAAATTCCCAACTTACCTTTAACAACAAAAAGACGCTTCAGTGTTTCGGGATAATTTTCCTCAAACATGCAGAGAAACTGTGGAAACAATCACTCTTGATTCCAGCAGGCTCAGAATCTGCCCCCATCGCCTCACCCATCCCACAGGACAGCCTAGCAGAGGGGCCCACTAGTCCTCCCCTTACCTCTGCCCCCTTCCTCCCCACCCCTGCCCCTCACCTCTCCATAGGCCTCCACAGCAGGCTTCCAGAGATGCTTGAGGCCAAGCCCCTCACAGTCATAAATTATGGTGACGGTCTCCACCGTCTTCCCCAACTGCAGGAAACAGAGAGCAGGAAGTCTTGTCAGGCTGTCTTACTGCAGAAGCCCACTCCAGTCCAAGGCAAATGATTGCACTGTGCACCCATAGAGCAATCAGAGCTAGTTAGGGCCAGACCTAGAGTTTTCCAAATTGAGATAATCACCCCAGGCCAGAATTGTGGCCTAGGTGAGTCATTCTTCCTGCTTAGGTCTCTGTGTTCTTATCCAGTACATGACTGGGTAGATCTAGATGACATCTGAGATGGCTTTGGTTTTGCAGTTTGGCCTGATGGCCTCCCCCTTCCTGAGTCACTGTGTGCTCTGCGCACGGTACCCATAGAGCCACTTAAATGCCCAAGCACAGATGTTCTGTGCACCCTGAACCCTCGGGTGCATCCACGTCTAATGCTTCCTGCATCCCCAGCTCTGCAGGGTCTCTGCGCACAGTAGGCTCTCTGTGAACGTTTGCAGATGAATGTGGGAATGTTCCCGGACTTTATGGCATCATTTCACTGGATCTTTACAACTGCTGAGAGGAGGGCAGGAGGGAAGTGGCAGCTCCTGCTTGTTCTTCAGCCTTTTTCTCAGTAAGGGAATCAGCTATCCTTATCTTTTTTGATGCAGGGTTCTAGCCCTGTTGCCCAGGCTGGAGTGCAGTGGTGCGATCACGGCTCACTGCAGTCTCGACCTCCCAAGTTCAAGTGATCATCCCACCTCAGCCTCCCTAGTAGCTGGTACGTGCCACTATGCACAGCTAATTTTTTACTTTTTTTGCAGAGACAGGCTCTTGACATGTTATCCAGGCTGGTCTTGAACTCCTGGGCTCAATCTGCCCACCTCAACCTCCCAAAGTGCTGGGATTACGGGCATGAGCCACCACACCCAGCCATCCTTATCTTTTTTGAATACAGAATTAGAGAAGCAAGAATCTGAGATCATCTGCACCAGTGGTGCTCAAATACTTGCTCAAGGATGGGTTGGTCCACAATAAGATTTCACTGGGTCCCCAGATAAATGAGAAAAATAACAAAAACGTAGTGAGTTTTTTATGAAGCTAAATTTATTCAATGTAAAGGACTGTTTTTTTTGTTTTGTTTTGTTTTTTTGAGATGGAGTTTCA